ACATTCTAGGAAAAAACAAAGCATTTTTCAAATGTATCTTTGTGGAGGGGAATGCAATGAATTTCTCAGTGCAAGCCTAGGAACACTTTGTGCTACACAGTGTTGAAATAAAGTCTCGTGTTTGTAGAAAGAGGGTTCCATCCATGAGCTGTGATTTCCTTTCACTGACAATAATCTTCTATTTGTAGACATAATAGTCAATAATGACAGGGGCCAGAACATGAATATTCCACATCCATTCCCACATGCTGCTCTGAAAGGAAAACTCACTACTCCAAAATTCTCTCTCTACCCCTGCCTTCAATGGTACAGATTTTCAGCTGTTGCACATTGACAGAGCTCTCTTAATATCAATATATATGAACTGATAACTCAATCAAAAAACAAATTACACTTATCCTAAAATGGAAGTACATTGTTCTAGACCTCCAAATCTCCCAGGAGTTGACGGCCACCATAAAAGCCAGGGTTATAAACTTGAATTTATTATAGACAAATAAAGCTTTGCCCTATGAATTCTCTGCCTATTAAGTTAATGAGCCTTGACAAAACAATCATCTGAGGAGCAGCTGACAAATTATCTGGAGCAGCAATTTGAAAGGCGTTGGCCTGCTTACAAACATTTCAGTTGAGAGAATATGGCATCATGTTCCTCTTCCTCTGGAAGAGTCATTTGTCAAACTGAATTTCTTGCAGATGAACAGCAGATTCCCAATATTGGAGCACTGAGATACAACAATAACTGTAATAATTAAAACAAATAAATAATCCCTGCCATTTCCTCCCCAAACTTGAGGCTCACAAATGCTGATGCAGAGCTCTTTCTAGGAAGTTTGGATGAAGAAAGCGAGGTACATTGTAGTTTTGACTGGAGCTCATTGAAGTGTTTAATGTAGAGGAAAAGAGCTTTGAGGAGTTCAGGCATGTAGAGGAGAACCTTTCAAAATACTTGGTCAGTATCTCAAAATTTTTTTTTTTTAGTATAACTTCCCACAGAGATGGTGATCTCACAGCTGTGGGTTTAAACCAAGTCTTTTATTGGATTAATTCTTCAAAATTTTCAACACAATACAGTCCTGAAACACATTGCCTTTGGGAAATTTAGGGCTGTGTACATTAAATACTCTTGGAAGAACAGCCACTTGCATTAGGGCAAAACTGATATCAGTACTTTTCTAAAATCTGTTCTCCAACTGTGAATACTGAGTCCATTTGGAAATTGAATCATGATCCGTTGTAAAGCTGTCACTTTCCTCACCAAAGGCATTTGCTGAAATATTATTTCAAATGTCTTCCTCCACACTCAACTATTCAGAGTCCTGTGGAAAAGATGACAGTACTGAGAACATGGAAAACTGTCATCTTTTCCATCTGAATGTTATTTCACAGTATGAAGGAAGTACAAATTATAGTAATCAGTTGCCTCTGCAACAGCATGTAGCAGAGTATAGCACAGCACATTTAACCATGAGCTGTTTTTGTTCTCATATATTATGTTCTTTTAGCAGTTTTTGTTGGACTGATGATTTAAACAAACTCATTAAATATACAGGAACTAGAACTCAAAATTACATCAAAGTAGAATGAAGATAAATGAAACCTTGTTCTTAAAGAGAATTGTTAACTCACACTCAGTAGAATAATACCTAGCTTTCCAAGTCCTGATGTCAGGCCATCAAATATCTGATGACCGAGCAGTCAATCAACCAATCATAAATCAAAAGAATGTACAGAATTATACATTCAGGTGCCAAAATGGCCTAGTTTTGTGAGCCCTCCAGAGCATTACTGATTATTGACTTCTATGTATGTGGCAGCCTTAATATAATCTTTTCCCCAAATTCTCTCCATACTGGTCATGTCTAGAGAGGTAGTTCAGCAATGAACTACCTCTCTCTGTAGTTAGCAAGGCACTCAACTCCACGGCTCCAGCATCCCCTAGAACCCACTCATTCAACTTTCTAGTTCAAGTTGGAATCTTTCTTTCTTTCTAAGGGGACCATTATAGGAGTCTTTCTATAACGAAATCTTCCATTGTCTCATTCTAAAACCTCAGAAGAACTGCCATGCACAGATAAATTACTCATACTTATACTTTACCTAAAAAACCAGAGTAATTTAGTAATTTTGCCCACTTATGCAATATAAGGCAACATTAGCAGAGAAATTAAAATATTATGGGTAGCTCTGTTAGTGCCTGCAGATATTTACACCTTTATAAAACACTGTAATCAATGTGTTTCACTCATACTTGCACTGGGCTGAACAGCTTGACTAATCACTTTGACCACTTTGATTAAGAATCTTTTTACAACTTCTAGAAGCTACACAGTTTTCATTCTAATAAACTGACATATTTTGCATGGTTTTACCACATCTGTAACATTATTTGCTAGTATTTGTCTTCTTGCTTTTAATGGAGCTTTCTATTTCTATAGCATTGCAATGCCTTTCACAACTGTCTTCATAATCCCTGGGGTTTCTTTCCTGTTAGTGTATCTCACACTAATTTACCATTTTACTTTCCACTTACACACTTCTGCTCTTCCCAGATTATTCTTTGATTTGAAAAATGTTTCCTGTAGAAAATGTCTGTGATCAAAGCTCCAAACACAATTATTTCTTCTATTCTAGAATATAAAAGATGAGAATTTTTTTCCTAGCAAAGGAAGCACTCCAGAAAAATTGTGCCTAACTCTTCCTCTATCTCCCAAATATTGTTTGCAAATGGTTTACTACTATCCTTAGATAGAAAAATAGCGGGGTTATACTAGTGTAAGGTTTTGGATAGTCTGCTTTCCTTCATTAAATATTTATCAGGAGGCAATCACTGACAATGTTTTACGGAAAGATCTTCCATTATTTCAGTTATGGAAATGTTCATAATTTTAGCCTTTCCTAACTGTCCTCTCAGAGCACAGCTAGCCTAGGGAATGCTGAATTTTAGATGCATTCTTAACCCTGATTTGGTGAGGGAGGTGATTATTTTTTGCTCTATTTCTTCTGAATGGCTTAGACAGCTGTCCTATAAGCCCATAGATGCTCAGTGAACTAAGTAAGCACAACAAAGGAATAAAGTGACTGAATCAAAACAAATCACTACAGTTTTCAGTGAAGTCTTGGTCACTTTCCATACTCAAAGAGAAACAAACACTGAATTCAGTTGCAAAATGTGGTACATGTTATGTAACCTCTTTTAGAGCACCATTCCAATGGATCAAAACATTGCCTGTGTTCATCACTGGATTTTGGATGACCAAAATTATATACCAAGGCAGCATGTATCTCCCAGATGTGAAAGCATGGTTAAAAATAAGCACAAGCTGTAGAAAAAGATCTATGGTGAAGATGCAAACTATGAGATAAATCCAGTGATGCTCATGCACTTAAACAAAGGAGGTGAGGAAGAAGCGCATGCAGTACCTGGTGATCTCAGAGTCAGGGAGCAGGCCTACGTGGTAGTGGGGGTAGGGAGCTGAAAGAAGGAAGCTTTTGTCACACTCGACAGGGGAATAGTGCCTAGGAGAAGGTGGTTTATCACACAGTTTGTTCACAGTGCTGTAAACAGGTTCAGGAGGCCTGGTGATACAGAGACAAGAGTAAAAGATCAGGTGCATATTAGTTGCTGAGAATATTGAGAAAACACAGCAATCATTTTAAAAGCATGCTTAGCAAATCTGTCAAGAGCTTTTCAGTGGGGCTTTTCCAACAATTAAAGTGTGATGTTAAAGGAATTGTTAGATTTGATAACACTAGTGTGGCATTCAAGTAGCTGCATATAAATATACACAATACAAGTGGACCATAAAACTGCTCTGTGGGAAGTGCGGCACTGAAAGGGAATATCTTATCACTGAAGATGAGAAGGTGAGGCATTTTCCCCAATAGTATTTCTATTTTTTTTAATCTAACATCCACACAGCTTTCTGTGATCTTAATTTTGGGTACAGCATAGAAGAAAATGTTTGTTACCTGAAAAAGAAATATTTTTTACCCATTAATTTACAATACAGATGAAGTACAGATTACTTGTTAATACAACATACTCCTGTCACAGAGAGCTGGGACTTTGCAAGTAGAGCTGTAGTCAAAATGACCCATATCCTAGGATAACACTGATGGCAACAAACTGTGCGAGCAATTCATATCATTGGCAGGCAGTTCATTGCGTCTCAAGAGTTCTTTGCACTCTTTCCAGATTCAGCCTTCAAAATCTGATTATGCAGACCACATCTGAAACAGTTAACCTCATTGCCAGGGCTACTGCAATCGCACTTGCAGGGCTGCTCCAAGTTGCAAACAGCAGCCTGTGAAGTTAGATACAAGAAGAGCTTAAAACTGAAGTTTCTCTCCTGCTGCCGTGAGGCACCTGCCCGGGGAGGCAATACTTACCACAGCCCTGCCAGGAGCGCCTGGGAGAGGGGAGCAGGGAACGCAGCCTTTGGTACCGACAGCCAGGCAGCATCCGCGGGAGACAGCAGCGAGCAGTTTGTAAAACAAACCCACACCACGTCCACAGAGCATCTCCCACCTTGTAACCTCCCTGCCTTGGCACCAGGACACACCTTGGGCCTGCTGGCGCTGTGAAGCTTGACTCATTGTTTCCTGACATTTCTGCTCTCAAGAGTGCCAAGGGTCAATTGCTATCATAGCCACGCTTCTGCCAGAAGATCCAGGGTATGCCACTGCCTTTCATCACTGTCATACAATATTAGCTAGATGGAAATCTTATTTCAGAAGCCTGAAAATATCAAGAGGCCAAGAAGTTAATGAACTTTTTTTGTTCTTCTGGCTGCACTATGCCTCACATGGGTGTGGGTTTTGCTGTAACTTTCACAGGTACCAGAATTTATTACAATCGTGGATGTGCTGGCAGATACAGAGAATCTAATTTCCTTTGTTAGCTTCTGGGTTTGTCCTTTGGGGGAAAAGGAGTAGCTGCTTTACTTAAAAATTGGTCTTACTCAATGTTAATAACATTATTCATAGCAATCTTCCACATGATTTGAGAACTCTCTGTGCCTGAATTTCCCAGGGAAAACTTTACATTTAAAAAAAACCAGCAATTTAAGATTACCAAATATCAAAATAGCAAAGCTGTCACTCATTTGGTTATAAAGCATTGCGTCAAGCACTTAGTAAAATCTCTTTAAAAATGTTTAAGCTAGCAATCATTTTCTATCATTATATTTCACTTGTTTCAGAGAGCTGGATTTAATAGTTTATTTACTAAATCAGTTGTTGCTTTCAACAAAAAAAAAATGCAGATAAAAACTATTCTATTTCACTGTTGTCCAATACTGCATTTTATTCCCTTAGAAACCACTTTTGCTTTTAGGCAATATATGAAAGAACAAGTACAAATATCAAATATAAATGATACCTACTAAGAAAATTGAAGAAATATTGCCCCGGTGCAGGAAGATTAATAAAACCTGGATTCCTCCATGGCTTAAAACACTAACCAATCCATAAAAAATTTGTTAGTGTCCCATATTCAAGTTAATTGTCTTCTCTCGGTTGTAGACAACATCAGTGTTGCTACCCCTTGGATTTATTGTGAATGCTCAAACTACACTGAGTCATCAGTCAGTGACCATCCAACCTCATGCTGAGACACAAATCATGCCACAGACATGGGTAGATATGAGGAATTTCTTTGTTAATTGACAGTTACAAGCTGCCTCCAAAAGCAAAATGAAGTTAAACATTCAACATCTACCCAGATATTGACACCAAATTAGTCCTTCAGGTATAAACAGAGTCCTAACAAATTGTCTTAGAAAGGCCAACAAATTTTAAAACATTTAGCAAATGTTAACGTGTTTTAAAACATTTTTGAAACATTTTTCACTCCTTTCAGGCTTCCTGGGTGGCAAGATAACAGGAAACCGGAACAACTCTGAGTATAAAGTCCCATACTCACGGATGTTATATAAGTGATATTGTGACCTAGTTAACATCATACCCCCTGTATTTGAGCTGCAGAGAGAGGTCTTAAGGTTAAGAAAAGGAATTTATACTTCATATTATTTTAAAACTTGCACTTTTTGGTTAGAAGAAGATTTAGGATATCAGATAATTCCAGTTATGAGTGCACTTGATATAAGGCCTATGAAGTGGTGTGAGATCACCACAGCCACCTGCTTCCCTTCAGATGTCACTTCAAAGTCATTGAGAGCATAGACTGCACTGGTCCTTCGGATACCTCTATCCTACTCAGATGACAGGCTAACAACTACCAGCTGCATAGCTGGGCTCTGACTACATGTTTTATTGGCACAGAAAAGCAAGAATTTGGAAAAAAAATGCAGTATATAACATCTAATGTCCAGGACAAGTATAATATTTTCTCTCTCAACTTGGTGTAGTAAATAAGAATTAAGTCGTGTAAAAATATTTGAAAGTTAGGATAAAAAATATAAAGTATAGGAATGCTTAAAATGATATGGGGCAGATCACTGTCCTGCTCAGACAAACTGTGTTCCATGTAGGCCAATAATCACAAAAAAGTAATATGAGATACTTGCTAAAACAGCCTGTCTTCAAATACACTCCTCATTCTTCACCTTCTCTATGGCAAAGAAGCACTTAACTACAATAGTATCCACCTACTGGAAGAAAACACCTTGTTTCAAAAAAAGAAGATTGTGAAGACCACCCAGCTTTATTAAATAATTATTCTAATGCAGCATTTTCTCGTGTCATTTATATTTCTCCTCACAGAAAGAAGAAAGAACTTCTTTCCAAAGGGATCAGCCCACCTGATGAATTCTGTCTCGCACATCTTCTCCAGTGCTATGACAGAGACGGATTGTCCTCTCTCAAAGCATGAGATAATGAGAATGCTATTTAGAAAGAGTTTTTAATGTGCCATTATGAAAAAATACAGCCAAGGTCACCTCAACTTTCCTTGCAAAAATAATTAAGAGCCAAACTGAACATAAACATTGAGGCCTTACTTTATGATGAACTAATTCTTCAAATGAATTTAAAAACATGTAGCAAGCCATTTAGCATGCTTTAAGAAAGGTGTAAAGGATAGATATATATTATTTGAAGAATAATACACTGCAGTTTATGTGCAATTGCATCTCTTTCAGATACAGCAGGTATAACTTCAGAAGTTTAATTTAAAAATAAATGCTAAGCAGTTTTTGAAACTTCTTTTTGAGGAAGAACAAAGAACTATATTATGGAATTTCTTTTGTCCATTATATTAATTTTTGTTAATAACTATGCATAAAAAATCTCCTTAAAATCCCAAATGCGTGAATATTAATGTATACATCTTTGATAATTGCAATATCTCTTTTAAAGCAAAATTATGTAATGTGGATCTACTCTGAAAAATAACTAACTACTGCAGTAACTTCTAAGTCAGACCCACTCCCCTTCTGCCTCTACACTGCTTATTTAGTGGCAAAGAGGCATCACAGTTCTCTGTCTTTATCAGTGAGCTAAAAACAAAGCTTTGTGGCAAATAAGAGCAGCAACTACTAGGTCTGGATTGACAGTAATAACTACATTAGTCTGAAAATAAAGCACAGAACAGTAAAGGGAGGGAACAGAAAATATAAGTAGAAAATATAAGTAACAGCATAGCGTGACTTGAACCTGCCCCAGCAGAGAGTTCAACTCACAGGACAGAGAATCAAGCCACTTAAGGCCAAAGGTAAGCTTTTAAATGGCAACATGAACAGCAGAGTCACTCTTCCAGCAAGAAAATAAAACTAAAAAAAAATGAAAACTGGAATTGTTATTCAGAACAGATGTAACAGCAGTGAGGCACAATTCTTACAGAAAGGTAGAACTAATTGGTGGAAAATATAACAGTGGCAGTGGGAGGTAGAAAATTGATTTAACACTGATTTTATTTATTTCTTAACAGGTTGTGTAAAGTGAATATTCCTTGTTGTCTGCAGTCCTTATTATTCCTTGATTATATCATCATTGTTTTGTTGTTTCAAGCTGACTTAATTGTGGAACAGAAGTTATAAAAAATGGCATTTTTAAAAGCCATTCTCTCCTCAGCATCATGCAGGGTCCTCATTTTAAAATTTATTTTTTTCTTTTTTTTTTTTTAATTGTGGAATCCTGTTTGATAGGGATCAATTGCAAACACAGCACATTAAATGTTAACAGTATAACACTTTCAGGTTTTAAAACATTTCAAAACCTTTTATGATATGGAAAGAAACCAGCTCAGCTCTCACAGCATATTAAGTATGCAGAGCTATAGCCAGGAAACAATCTGAGAGAAAATGTATTCAATCTGAGAGAAAATAAATCTCCTAGTGCTAGAAGTTTACAACTCCTTTTTTTTTTAATAGCAATTTTTAATTGTATCCAAGTTAGAAAAAAGACATCTAACACATTAGTTTTGCTAATATAATGTTGCAGGGAAGTAGACAAAGAACATTTTAAGAATTATTTCACTATTAGACCAAAAATCAATGGCAATTTAATACAAACAAGATCTTCCATTTTCAATTGCCAGTGATTTTCTATACATATGTCCTTCGACTGACCTACTTATTCATATAACCTTCTAGAAGAACCACATACCTTAATTGTTC